TGCACCCTTACCGCTTGAAACCTCTCATTTTGTAACTCCCTCAGTCTCCCCTTGACCTCGACAATTTCATCCATAGGATAGTTGCCCCCCACAGCCCCCTTCCCATAACAGCCCCTTAACCTGTCCTCTAATTTGAAAGGCCATATTTTAAATCATTTATACGTTTGCCCACCCCCACATAATATTTCCTAATCCTTTCCTTGGCTACACAATCCCACCATTGTACGACATCTTCCACTCCCTGTGCCTCCTCGCTAAGCTCCTTCCATAGGACAGAAAATCCCGCTAACCCCTCCTCATCACTCAATGCACTTATATTTAATTTCCAGTAACTCCTGTATATTTCCGCAAGCACCTCCCACCCATCCTCCACCAACACTGCTCTATGATCCGACCATGCTACTTCTACAGTTTTGAAAGATCTCACTACAACCCCGTGAGAAAGATGCACTCTATCTAACCTTGCTGCATACCCTCTCCTAACAAATGTATGCTCTGTCTCCCACGCCCCCCCCTCGAATGCGTCCCTTAACCTAATATCCCTCAATAAATCTCGTAGGGCCACCGACACATAACCTGCCCCTTTCAGTTCCACATCAGCCCTCCTAATGACACAGTTCCAATCACCTCCTACTATTGCCACCTCCGGTAATGCACGGAAAAAAACACAAGGTCTTCACACACAAACTCCTGCTTCACCTGTACATTATTCTCTGCAGGCGCATATACGCTAATAAAGGCCACACGTTTTCCCATCCACAAACCATCTACGCGCAACACCCTCCCCCTCCCCCCCTCACTTCTCTGCAAAACAAACGGGCTTGCCTCCCTAATTAATATATCCACCCCTCCTTTCAAATGGGCAGATGGCAGGGTTACCACCCGAAACCCCTCCATCTCCAACACCCTACCCTCCTTACAATTATGCTTCTGAAGGAATACAACATCCACTCTAAATTTATTCAGAAACATTCGAAACCATTCTCTCTTTACACTATTACACAAACCATTAACGTTTACTGTCATACACCGGAGGCCTATTAAAGTTTCCACCCCTTGCTCCTCTCTTCCAATGGGCACCAGAACGTGTGGGACCACTTGTCACCTGCACACTTCCCTCTCTCCCCCCCCCTTCTTTCGGTGCCTCCTGTCATGGCCACCACTACCTTCACCTTCTACCCATATTTGCTTCCCAGTCCCCTGCGCTGGTGTTAGGACATCATCTGAATCCGACGCAGCGGCTCTCTTTCTTGTGACAGGCGCATCCTCCATGGCTTGGTCTGGGGATGCCTCACAATGTACCTCAACCTCCACTGTACACAGTGGTAATGATCTCGGTGACACCTCAGTTGATGCACCACAGCCTTCAACTCGTCTTCTACCACCTTTCCAGGAGCAGCCACCTCCTCAGGCGGTGACAAGGACTTCAGAACCTTGGCTAATTCCTCCTCAATTTCCAACACTTCCTCCTGTACTTTTTGCTCAACCTGATCCACTGGAAGTGTCTCTGGGCCAGGTAACTGGTCAAGGGCCTCACCCTCTCCCCCAGCCTTATGCGCCTCATCCACTATCTCGCTCCATAGACGACCACGCCCTCCTTCACATCGTTGATCATCACCTGCTTCCCCCGGTGTAGAAGCGGATGTCTCCGCCCCTGGGCCAGGAGCTCGTTGCCACTTCCCACACTCCGCCGCTATGTGATCATATTCCCCACATAGTCGGCATGTATGCCTTTGCCCGGCGTATGACTCCATGACCTGTGTCCTGAATTCCTTTAGGTACACGTAAGACGGTATGGGGTGTCGTAATGTCATTTTTAGGTTAAAAGTGCCCTCCGGCATACCTGTGTAGGCACCCGTCACCCACTTACCATGCTGGGCCAAATGAACAGTTCCGTATTCCTCAGAAACTTTTCTGATATCTGTCTCATCAGCCTCAAAGGGGACATTACGCAGTTTAATCCATGTATAATGTCTGGATACATCGATCATCCTCACACGCACAGCTGGTGTTGCATCAAGACTCATAAACCGTTGCTGAGAGCAGTTTCACAAAAAATCTACGTGCTCCGTTCAATGCTACTCCGTAACAACTCGCCATCCTGAATGCCACACATGTCTCTGATGATTTTAGGTAGTAATACCTGGGCTGAAGCTGGCGTTATTGCCCCACTGAGAAGTTCAACACCGACAGTGTTGATCCTGCGTTTATAACTGAACGCCATGTTGACTAATTTTAGTTCTCCTGGGCTGACGACAGAGGCGCGACAATCACCACCTCCCACTACTGCAGTCAGGAAACTGAAGTGCGTTTGCGCAGGTCTACACGGCCCAAGAGCGATACAGACAATTCTCATGCAAATTCGGGTGTCATCTGCAGAGGAAGACACGGTGCTGTGGCTTACTACTACTATCAAAATTAAGCACTAAACCCACAAAAGATATCAAATACGTAAGGGCAACATCAAGGAGACTGTTTTCAACATGAGTCCATGGACATTGTTCATTAGAATTACGAATATGTGATAAACGAGTGTCTTTGGACAAGTGTCCAGGGCTTTACAAATATCAAGGTTCAAGCCACGTTAACACACAGTAACAAGACTGTGTTAATCCCTTACTAATTACCAAATGACAACCATCCCCCCCCTCCCCATAACTCTCCCATCAGTAACAACTAACTACTCACCCCCAAACCCCTCCACCAGCAGCCAGCCCCAGACCCTTCCCCTAACGACCTTCCACCTCCCCACAAACAACCACTGACATCACCTCCCCCCCTCCTCCAGGTCAATGGCGCCATTTAGCCATGGAGGTCAAGAATAGTGGCGCCACTAGTCACTCCTCTGCCATCCACCACACCATCAACACTTCCAGCTCCATCAACCTTTGGTAATTTAAAAAAACTTTAATTACTCCAATTTCATGGTAATTTCTGATATATCAGCTCTGAAAATATTTTAGCAATTTTTCTTTCTACAATGTTAAATACATAGTAAGACTTCAAACTATTGCTTACTGCAGTTCATGAATAATCTAGTAATGTCCATACTTTAATCTTTGCAGACATTGTTTTGGCGTGTTGCTGCTGGTGATGACATCTCTGAAGACTTGCAGCTGCCCACAACATGGCCTTCACCACACAGCAGCTGCCCACAACATGGTGAATATCTTCAACCTACAAGATTCGATAAACTTAAGAGCATTTGTCAGCATAGTTGCTGATCCCCTTACATGTGTTGTATAGCTTATCTGAGTACCATAGCACCAAACATATGTTTTACATACACGATCCCTTGCTAGGCCTAGGGGCTAGTTTGTGTGACGTCACATGATGCGCATGTGTGCATGAGTACCTCTAACTTCCTCAGTCCACATATAGGTCTACAATAGGCAGCAAGGCAGGCTGGGCCTCCCTTACCACAGTCTGACAATATAGTGTTACCATCCAACCAGTGTGTTTATCTACATCCATCTAATCTCCAAAGAACCCCGACGACAAATGGTGGCAGCGGTGGGATGAAGTGGAACATGCCTTCTCCGAGGACAACCCACCTTTCTGTTTGCACATAACTCCCAATGAAACGATAGGTCCTCTAGTGCAAGCATCTATTCATAATGCGCCCGTTCATGTGTTCATGGACTGGTGTGCAAGTTAATATCAGGTCTAGTTTGTTTAAAGATAACCAGCTACTCCACTAAGGGAGGTTACAGTAGTTGGTTCTACGAGGACGACACGTCGTAACTGCTTATCTTTAAACAAACTAGACCTGATGATATTACTTGCGCACCAGAATCCATGAACACATGAACGGGTGCATTGTGAATAGATGCCTTACTAATTTGCAGAGCAGTGGCGGCGCAAGGGGGGATGAAGGGAGGTAAAAGATCAAAGGGGGGTCTAGGTAAGATCAAAGGGGGTCTATGCAAGATCAAACGTGTCTAGGTAAGATCAATCAGCCTACAAAGTCTCAGTAAATATAAACTGTATAACCCAATTTCAAAACAAATGCTGCTCCCCCAAAACACACTAATAGACTCTGGAGTCCTAAGCGCTAAACCCACAATATTTTTGGGACTTCAAACCATAAAATTACTTGGCCAGGCCCTCTACAACCCTACTGAAAATAGGTAGTAGTTAATTCCACATTTCTGAGGAATTATTGATTTTTCTGCCTATAATATATTCTGCCCGAGGAAAATTTATCCCGTCATGTAAAGCTAAGACTTTGGCTGCGCAGTTTTAAAAATAGGTTAGATAAACGAGTGGTTGAGAATTGGACCTGCCTAACATGGGCAAATAGGCCTGCTTCGGTGCTCCTTTGTCTTAATAATGAATATGCCTGATTTAATAGGCTTTCTTTACACCCGGCATCAAGTCCTCTACAATTACCTTCACCACACTAAACTTTCTTAGTATAATTATTAACCAGGTAGATTAACACAATTACACAAGTCAGTATGACATTTTTATTAGGGTATTTATATTTCCCCAGGATGCTACCCCTACCAGTAGGCCTGCTGCAGTGTTCCTCCTCTATGTGAACAGTGCCAATGAATATAAGGGAACATGCCCACTTGTGCCCGGGAACGAATCCCGGTGTTTCAGCTGACGCCACTACCAACTGAGCCATGATATATATCACTTACACATTTCATCTCTGCTTCCTACAATCTTGCAGGACGGGTACAGACTACGAAATAAAGACATTACACTAACTAAAACTTCCTAAAATCTAACTAGTCTTCAATTCTAAGCTTTGCAACTCATTTCTCAAATTTTTATTTTCACCCCATTCAAAGTAACCTGTAGAATACATTCCTCATTTCCTGGCCAGAGATTTCATCTCTGGTCGGGAGATAGGCTAATACTTCTCAATAAGCTACTTTTGATATCAATTTCTTACAATCTTTCCTATACTCTCCCAACCACCTTCCCACCTAATACAATTACTATCTGCTTCAAAACCAAACTTTAGTGGAATGACAACCTGGAAATACCTTACAAGTAGTCCCCGCCCACCTCTGACGACGTTTCCAGCTGCTGCATCTCCACCTGGAGTAGCCCTCTCCAGGTATAACACTAGGTGTTATGGGTCAGACCATTTACTAGTGTGGTTGTCTCCACCCCTCAGACTGGTCAAGGTTGCCGTGTTGGTCAATGTTGCAGCAGACACAGCCAGACGCAGCAATCCTCAGTTACCACACCTGAAACAAAACACATTAGCATTATAACCATGAACATTACACACACAGGTAAACATTACCATGTACATAAACTAGTAATATTGCTGCCTGACATTCATTAATGTTTAACATAGTAAGTAAAGCTATCTTTTTCTTTATTAAATATTTTTTTCACATAAACCTAATGACTAACAATTTGTTTACATGGAAGTCTATCTGGATCACAAGGCGCAAGTTCCTTGGATCAAGAGAACTTCAGTTACTTTTCAATGGAAAAATATTGCCCAGAACTGGATACATCATTATGGGTTATGTAACGCCTACTGTGAGAGTTATTGTTTGATCAGAGGGAGGGGAGTAGCTCCAGTTCCTCGCATCAAAACCCTTCTACTAAGGTCAATCACCCCCGCCCCCCTCCAAGACATTAGACCCCAAAGAAAATTAAGACTATTAAAATATTAATAATTTGGTGGCCAAACTGGAGAGGACCAGGAGCTGCAGCTCAACTCTGCTGTTGTACTGACAAATACGTCACCAGACAATACTTAGTTATTTAGGTGTATTAAAAAGATGAAGCGGTAAAGCCGGCGGGGTGGCAGAAGAAGCAACACATCCCTCCTGTATGACAACTGAACTTCAAATGACTTTCAGTTATCTTGAGGATGGTCACTGTCCTGACCTTCACTATAACACCATCACTGATAACCTGGCTAACTCTGACTACCACCACTAGATGACACTACTACACCACCACTACTACCACTAAATGGCACTACTACACCACCACTACCACCACTAGATGGCACTACTACACTACCACTACCACCACTAGATGGCACTACTACACTACCACTACCACCACTAGATGGCACTACTACACCACCACTACCACCACTAGATGGCACTACTGCACCACCACTAGATGGCACTATTACACCACCACTGGATGGCACTACTACACCACCACTAGATGGCACTACTAAACCATCACTATCAGTACTACTCATGGTGGAACGCTCAACCTGTGGGGGTCATGGACCATCTGGGAGGATAAGTACACCCCGTCAACTAACTACACGAATACCACCTGGTGGTTCACACTTACACTCGCTCACTCATTTGACCATAAACAGAAATATTAATCTCAGTCTTAAAATAATGAATCCTGTGATACTCCAATACTGAAACTATATACTGTGCCAAAACAAAAGCATTCACATTGCTAAACTCATAAACTAGTATTTAGTCACTTAGCCATAAGACCAACTTACCTCATAATTTGTAATATTTTACAATTAAGAATAAAACTAAGTATGCCCGAAATGCCTAGCCATGCTAAGCGTTCTAGTGGTACACTCTGTAATCACAATTTTACTACATGTAAACCAAACAATAACCAAATTTCTGTAAACTCAGCATTGTAATCCTTATAGAGAATAAACTTTGAATTTGAAAATTTGAATTTGAATTTGAAGGTGGCATAGATCACAATCCTTGGCTGTGATCTATGCCACCACCACCTTCTAGGAACCTTTCGCAAGGCCACCACTCTCACCACTAGAGGCGCTGAACTCCACTATTATTGTACCACTAGTGCTTTACATGAGAATACCTGGAGTATACCTGGAGAGGGTTCGGGGGTCAACGCCTCCGCGGCCCGGTCTGTGACCAGGCCTCATGGTGACTCAGGGTCTGATCAACCAGACTGTCACTGTTAGACGCACGCAGAAGGAGATTATTGTACCACTAGTACTCTACATGAAGGGCAGATTATTGTACCACTAGTATTCAACATATCCAATTGTTATAATTTACCCTGGCCTACATGCTCTCCTGGATCCAGGTCCAGGATGAATCTTACCATTTTGTTCTGGGTGATCTTTAGCCAGTTTTTCAGCTTCTTGTCGTGGCAGAGTAACATGAAGAGCAAGTGTAGTCCATATGACATTGTATAAGAGCTAGAAATAGGGTCTTGCGAGACTAGTAGTAGTAGTAGTGGTGGAGTCAAAGACTAAGAGGAGCACTGCAATGGAGCTAGGGGCCCACAAGGGAGCTAGGGGCTCACGATGGGTAGGAACAAGAGCACAGAGGGGGGAAAAGATAACTAACCAAACACCAGAGGCAGAAGAAAGAAAATCCAAAGGAGAAAGAGGAAAAGGGAAGAGGGAAGAGGGAGAAGGGGAATGGTCCAAGTCGGACCGAAACGTCGTCGTAAGCTCCTCTCTCCTATGTGCAGATTATTTGTGTATTGTTCCAATCACGGTATTGTGCCTTTTTGCTACCTAAGTAAATAAGTTTATTTAGGTATAGGTACACATAGTTCAACATATGTGTAAATTACCTAGGATAACCCAAAAAAGTCAGACTTATTTCCATTAGGGTCCTTGTAATATCTGAATCTGGTGCTATCTTCAGATTTTGGAATAAAAGGCTATTGTAATAAAGTTGGTAGAATTACCGACAATATGTAAAGTAAAAGGACACAAGTGCAACTAATGTGACATTTATTGTGGCAACGTTTCGCTCTCCAGGAGCTTTATCAAGCTTGATAAAGCTTTATCAAGCTTTATCAAGCTTGATAAAGCTCCTGGAGAGCGAAACGTTGCCACAATAAATGTCACATTAGTTGCACTTGTGTCCTTTTACTTTACAAAAGGCTATTGAATATCAAATATGATATTTTCAGCTGCACCGTCATGGTACCAACCACAATGGAAATAAGTCACTTTGTCTGACATTTTTTGAGTTATCCTTGATAATTTACACATGTATGATAATTGTGTTTATGTATATCTGTGCCTATATAAAGTTACTTCAAGGAATGAAAAAAAAAAAAGTTTTATAAATAATTATTTTAGTTACTCAAGTAACTGTGTCATTTTCTTTGAAAGTTAACGTTCAGGTAGCCTTTAAGGGGAAACTTTAAGATAAGTACATGCAAAAAAGGAAAGCCCATTATTATGCAAAGTGTTTGTCTGAACGTGCTTTTTCCTTACTCTTAGGTTAGGATTTCGTTTGGTTTCTTAACTTGGAGGGTTAGTAACCCAGGATGACCCAATAAAGACCATGCGTCATCTACGACTGTCTGTCTTATTTCCATTGTGGTCCTTTAATTTTGTCTCCCAGGAAGCAACCCACAACAGTCAACTAACTTCTAGGTACCTACTTACTGCTAGGTGAACAGGGCAGCACGTGTAAGGAAGCATATGCAACATAGGTGGCATTGGTAGTTAAAGCTCTCTCTTCACAACACTCTAATTACCAGACATAATGAGGGCAAATTCCTAGGCCTATACCTTGACAACAACCTGAATTTCAGCACCCATATCCAACACATAACCAAAAAAGTATCCAAACCGGTTGGGATCCTCTCCAAGATACGATACTACGTGCCGCAAACTGCCCTTATCACACTATACCATTCTCTTATATATCCATACCTCACCTATGCTATTTGTGCTTGGGGATCAACTGCAGCAACACACCTAAAGCCAATAATAACCCAACAAAAAGCTGCAGTAAGAATAATCACTAAATCCCATCCCTGGCAACACCCCCCCCCCCCACTCTTCATAGATCTAAACTTACTCCCTGTTCAGTACATCCACACTTACTACTGTGCAATCTACATCTACAGGACCTTAAACTCCAATATCAACCTTGACCTAAAACGCTTTCTTGATAGTTGTGACAGAACCCACAGGCATAACACCAGACACAAACATCTCTACGACATTCCCCGTGTCCGACTAAACCTTTACAAAAATTCAATGTATGTCAAAGGCCCTAAAATCTGGAACACCCTACCTCAGAACTCTAGAACTGCAGACACATTCATCACCTTCAAAACTACCATTAGAAAACATCTTATCTCCCTGATACACCCCATCAACTAACTACACGAATACCACCTGGTGGTTCACACTTACACTCACTCACCCATTTGACCATAAACAGAAATATTAATCTCAATCTTAAAATAATGAATCCTATGATACTCCAATACTGAAACTATGTACTGTGCCAAAACAAAAGCATTCACATTGCTAAACTCACAAACTAGTATTTAGTCACTTAGCCATAATACCAACTTACCTCATAATTTGTAATATTTTAAAATAAAGAATTAAACTAAGTCTGCCCGAAATGCCTAGCCATGCTAGGCGTTCTAGTGGTACACTCTGTAATCATTATTTAACTACATGTAAACCACACAACACCCAAATTCTGTAAATTCAACATTGTAATCTTTATAGAGAATAAACTTTGAATTTGAATTTGAATTTGAATTTGAATTCACAAGGCGAGGGTCTGGGTTCGATTCCCAGCCGGAGTAGAAGCATTGGGAGTTTCTTTACACCTGTCTATGTTAAATGGGTACGTGGGTGTTAATCGACTGGTGTGGGTCGCATCCTGGGACACTGACCTAATTTGCCCGAAATGCTCAGCATAACAAGGGACTCTGATGTCAGCTAGGCCTGTATACCATGTACATGTACTTGTAGTAAATAAAGATATTATTATATTATATTATTATTAAAAACATTTCATCCGTACAGAGGATCGATCGTTTGCACTGGCCAAGGTCCCAGGACCGAAGCGTATCCAATACGTTTCGCTCCTAAGTGTCTTTTTATCCATATTGATCATCATACCTTCAGTTTTTATTTATCCTACGATATTAGTAGCGGTAATAAGATACTTTCCCCAATGGAAATAAGTCACTCTGTCTGACTTTTTTGGGTTAACCCAGGTTCTCTACACATATGCTGCTATGTACGATAATTCTATGTAACTGTATTTGTGTATACCTGAATAAACTTACTTACTTACTTCCATTATTTTTCGCATTTTTTGATCAAATACATAGTTAAACAGAACACGTCATTATTTTAACACCATCTTAATTATTTTGTGATTTACAGGCTCAGTGCTTTCTCCTGAATATTATTTTTTTCAGGTCATATCTTGGAAAATTCTGCTTGTATAGTTGGTTGACTGGATTTAAAGTTTAACTAGCACACAAAGGGTCGATAAAGCTTATTATTCTGTTTAGAAAGTTAAGAATATTTTAATACCTTAGAGATTAAAGTACACTTTGAATATATACAGATATATAAATTTTTCGGTATATATTCACCGAGACACATACGTCTCTCGATATATACGCACTGAAGCATCCACATCTGTGTATATATATACACCGAAAGACATACACCTCTCTGTGTATTTTCACTGAGACACCTGTCAGTTCATATATCCTTTAACGGAACATTATCCGAACAAACTATTCTTTTGGATACTTGCAATACATACCTGGTACCTACTTGTAGCTACAGGAGCAGTGATGGCCGTGGTGTCCTGTCTTCAATAATTTGTCCATCAGATCTTTTTCAATATTGTCAATTATTGTAGCACTTGCCCCTTCCTCTTAGTGACAGGCTCTTAAACTTTTTTTTATCATTATTCCTGGGTTAATGGGAATAAATTATTCATTATCACAAGGCCTGGTCACAGACCGGGCCGCGGGAGCGTTGATTCCCAGGTATACTAAAGGAATCACAAGGAAAGTGTGAGGGTTAACTAAGCAAAACACATTTTTTCCAAACTTTAGTAAAACAAAAATCACCTGTAACAAACAGCAATGGTGGCTGTGTGGAAAATAAAACAAGCCAATAAATACAATTTTTTTTTGTTTTAATGTTTTATTTTTTGCCTGTTTTTTCTATAAAAGTTTTTTTATACTTGTTGGTTGGTAGACCTACAGTATTGTCACGCCTCTAACCTGTAAGATAAGAAACACTTAATATTGTTTATTTGTTAATTAATTTAATTAACTTAATTTATAAAATTAGTATTAAAGAAAGATATCTTAGAAATACAAATAAGAATATGATCAGCTTCAATATTTATTTTATTTTGAAATGTAAGGTTTGTTGACATCATATTTAAAAAGAATTTTATTTACTTTTGTGAATTAAGTACATAATTTACATATGGCACATGCTAATATTGATCGATACCATGCCTAGCCCTTCTAGGGTAGGGTAGGTGCCTGAGCCCGAGGCTTTAGCTCATAAGACTGTCATTCCCATTTGCCCCTTTGGGGCGGGGATGGCAGACCAGAGAGGCCTAGCTTGTGGCTAGGCCTGGGGACAGTTGGTCCCAAAGATGAGGAGGTACTTGTGCCTCCTCCCATGGGAGACTTAGGTCTCAGACACTCCCTAAAGAGGGAGCCAAGGCCGGGCCACCACTTGGAAAAGGCCTGGGCCGGGAGAATACCGGCTAATCTTTAATAATAAATAATAACATGCTAATAGGCCTAACGGGGCTATGTGCACTGAGAGCCGTCTATTTTTGCGTAAATAAGTCAACTTTACGTGATTATTCCTAGCTATTTATATGCAAGTGATATGTAGTCTTAAGGCCGGGTCACCACTACTTGGAAAAGACCCGGGCCGGGAGAGTACCGGCGAATAAAAAAAAAAAAATGGCCGTCATGTAGTAAATAGGCTTGAAAACCAAGTAATCAATAGGCCTACGGTACCCGTTGATGAAGGGTGCTATATCTTTAGATTCAAAGGTCCTACAGCGGCTCTCATCAGCGAACCAGCGTTGCAAGTCATATACTGAGGTGGAGGTATCTGTGTGGAGTCGCTCACACAGGTCGCAGAAGGGGCGAGACACTGTAGCCCACCCATGTATTAACTGGTGAAACCGCTTCCATCTGAAGAAAATAGATTAGACAGATATGAGTGGAATGAAATGAGTATTTGGGTGACCTTACACTTGTCATCATGTTACTGATTACATACAATACCGACAGGTATACGCATAAGACACATGTGCAACAGATGGGAGTTCTTATTTCCGAAACGTTTCGCCTACACAACTGGCTTTTTCTATCGAATACAGGTGAACGTAACACTGAAGAAAGAAGTAATTTTAAGGTGATCAGTCCCTCAGCCTTGATAAGACTGACCCTTCAAGGCAGAGTGAGAGACTGATCGCCTCAACATTATTTCATCTCTTGTCTCCCGTGTTGTATTCACCTGTATTCGATTGAAGACTTCATTACATTTACTAGCCTATGACTATATCGACTTAGCCATAGAATGCTCTAAGCCTGAGACGGTATTTCTGTGGAGTCGAAAATGTAGGGACCCCTGTTGAGTATCCATTATGTTTCAATATAAGTACTACTGGTTGGGTGTGAGTTGAACCTGCATCCAAGCAAATGTGCAAAAGTAAGGCTGGAACGATAAATTTATTAAATAATACTGTTGCTTAACCAAAAAAAACTGAAGAATAAGAAAGATTTGTCTCAAATGCATAAGTGAAAAGAGCCAGGTTCAAAAAAAGCAAGCGAAAACCAAGAGTTGTTCCTGGGGCTGGCCAGAAATTACGAAGTGAACATCCTACATGCTTGGCAATGGGATTTTGTTGAATTGCAGTGCTAAGAAATTTTTGCAGGACTCACCTGAAGTACTCATTGTAAGCCGTGTCGTTCTTATTGAGGTAGATGAGGTAGTCTGCCAGCGCCTTGGCTGTGGGGAAGCTGAGAGCGTCAATATAGGAGTGTGGCGGCGCATGCTGTGAGTAGTTGGCACCTCCGTACACGACAGGAACCACGTCTAGACTGTAGGTATGATAACAGGTACTGACGATAACCATAGTACAGAGACACTCAGTGCAAAGCAAATCTTTATTATAGACGACGTTCTGCTCTGGGTAGCGTTTCATCAAGTCATGAGGGTTTAGCTAAACCCCTGACGCATATAGTACTACAGAAAGAGAAAACTCAAAAAATGAACTTCCACAAAAGTAGGTGACCCCGTGGCCTGGTAGGTGACCCCCGTGGCCTGGCTAGCAAAGCTCTCGCTTCACACACGGAGGGCCCGGGTTCGATTCCCGGCGGGGTAGAAACATTTCGACGCGTGTCCTTACACCTGTTGTCCTATTCACCTAGCAGCAAATAAGTACCTGGGTGTTAGTCGACTGGTGTGGGTCGCATCCTGGGGGACAAGATTGAGGACCCCAATGGAAATTAGTGAGACAAACGTCGATGGCGCACTGATTTTCTTGAGTTATCGTGGGTGGCTAACCCTCCGGGGTTAAAAATCCAAAATCTTATCTTAAAGCAGCCGAAATCTGTTGTGCACTGTAGTCTAGCCGGTGTGCCTCCTGCCTCCACCATCTTCCTTCAAACTCCCATGCTCTTTCCCTAATATTCCCTGTATAGGGATTTCACCTGCTTATTTATATCTCAAGGTGTTCTTACATCATTTGTAGAGTCCTAAGAAATGCTACTTGTATGTGAAGGATTTTTTTCTAAAAAGATTCATAGATATACTTTAATTTTGAAGAAAGACAGGTTTCAAAATCAGGTTTTATTGGGACTAAATTTTGTTATGTGTAGAGCTTTATTAAGTTAAGCTGAATACAGAGCGAAACGACTTGATAACGCTCTATGCAACGAAACGTGGCTTTATACGGCTCTACACAGAGCGAAACATATGTAAACGAAGCTCCACTCAGCGAAACATGTAGGCAAAGCTCTACAGAGAGCGAAACACCACTTATTCAAGCCTACAGTAAACCACCATTGTCCACAAAAACTTATTCTGTACCCCGCGTCTTTGCCTTCCTACATACAAACATTACACTGCTTCTTCCATACCTCAATTTGGAAACAAGAGAGAGACAGATGCGGTGTAATGAGAACCTAAATTAGCAACATTGTCCGAAACTCATACAAAATTCTCTATATCCATCATGGTGGTATCCCAACACTAATACTCTCCGTACCTCAGTTTGTTGAAGAACTTCTCAGTTACATAATCTCGACACAGGGAGTTCTCGAAGGCCAGATAGAACTTGTACTTCTTGTTCAGCATCTCCAGACACACTTCTTCGTGCTGTCTGTCGCATCTCAACAGTCCACACGCGCCGTACTGGTCCACCTCGATAAATTTCCTCAAATTTTTTGCTAGACTATTGGAAGAGAAAGCATTTTTTTTTAGGTTGTAGATCAAACTATGATTCGGAGACTAGCCTGGTGATGTTTAAGAATTTTCTAGTTACGGTGACTCATGATTAGTTTAATACAACAATAATAATAATAATAATAATAATAATAATAATAATAATAATAATAATAATAATAATAATAATAATAATAATAATAATAAACTCACAGTGCACTTTGGTAATGGAATATAATAATGTTTGATAGGTAGTATCTAATGGCTGTAGCAAGAATTATTAAAGGGGTGGCCCAGTAAACCGGTGGAAGGCATCGGTCAGATGACCAAAAGCTCCAACTGTGGATCATTATATGACTAAGACCCGCGTCAGGAAACACTTGTCTAATGCCTGACAAGCCTACCAAACCTATCCTAACCATTTTTGATCTAGAGAAAGGGAGAGTAGCTCCAATTACTCAGACCAAAAGCCCTACACCAGACCTCAAGACGCCTTACATGATACGTCACACACAAGATGATTTAAAAAGATGGACTCAATTTTATAATGAAGTTTTCTGTGCATATGTTGACATTCTTTGGTATCACATACATTTGTGAACAAACTTTTTTTCTGTAAGAAAATCATTAAACTTTGGTCAGGACTGACTGATGAACATTTGAACTTAATTTGAACACTGTGACTAACAGTGAACTTAATGTTCTCTACCAAACTAGTCTCAAATATTACATTAAGACTAAGCAAAGAAATTTAAGTATGTTAAGTTTACCTATCCATGACAGTAACTAAACAGTAACTAAACATAAATAAACCACTATTTCACACTGTGCTTGTTGTGTTTGCAGTTTTTTTTAAATGTGATTTACCGTGTTTTAATACTGAATCGTATTAGACTTTCAATAGGTTAAGTACGGTTCGTCAGCTGACCGAGGATTTGCGCTAATCTTTCAATATAATAACATACGAGTGAAAATGTAAAAAATTTTACTCTTGTATGTTAATCAGGTAGTTAATGGAGGTTATGGGGATATTAATGATAAAATGAGTGATTTCTGTTAGAGGTGAACTGGTGTTAATTTGTTGTTGTAGTTTATGAGGTTAATACTTATTAATGTTACTAATATGTTGGTTAGGTTAGTTATTACAGTAAATATATATATATAACATATTTCAGGTGGAGTCACCGTCACACTTTTCACTATCTCATGAGGGACTAGCATGCAGGAAAGTTGGAGACCAAAGCTGTAAGTGAGAGACTCTAAATCCGGTAAAAAAAACCAACTTCACTTCCAAGGATATTCTATTTTAAAGGGGTGAATCGGTAAGCCAGTGGAAGCCCTCGATCAGATGGCCAAAATTTCCAGTGTCGAATTATCACATTAATAAAGACCAGCGTTAGAAAACAATCGTCCTGTTTCCTGATGAATCTTACCTAACCTTCCTGAACGCTCACACTACCAGCACATCTTGCTCCCCAGCTCGTGCTACTTAAGAGATTATTATTATTATTATTATTAAAGATTAGCCGGTATTCTCCCGGCCCGGGCCTTTTCCAAGTGGTGGCCCGGCCTTGGCTCCCTCTGTAGGGAGTGTCTGAGACCTAAGTCTCCCATGGGAGGAGGCACAAGTACCTCCTCATCTTTGGGACCAACTGTCCCCAGGCCTAACCACAAGCTAGGCCTCTCTGGTCTGCCATCCCCGCCTCAAGGGGGCAAATGGGAATGACAGTCTTATGAGCTAAAGGCTCGGGCTCAGGCACCTACCCTACCCTAGAAGGGTTAGGCATGGTATCGATGTTAAGAGATTAAATCATCTTTAGCTATTGGTGTACAGATTAAATGCAATCTCAGTTAGTAGTGAGGGGTAGTGGTAGCAGTAATGGTAATTTGAGAGTAATGATTTGTAGTTACTGGTAATGGTAATGGATATTGTTAGCTATTTTATGTATTGTTTGTTATTGGTGATTTTTTCGTTTTTCTGAGTTAGGAATCATTAACTGAGGTCGACAAGGATGGATAGATTACTGACAGCAGTGAAGTGTTTTTGCCGAGAGTGGGGCTTAAGTTAAAGTATGTATGAAAGACGCAAGGATTATTTTCCAGTACAGCTTGACCTTAGGGATGTATAATATTACCAGGGTTGTTTAACATACTTATAGATAGGGTTGTAAAAGTGGTGAACAGATTAAAAGTAACTTCAGTAACCCTCGTATAGTCGACAGACTTTAGACCCAATAACTCAAGTATCAAACTACCTAAATATCCTAAATCCAATGTTGATGGTGTACAGACTCACGTTTCTCTGCCGCTCTGTGTCATACAGTTCGAGACGAACCAGGCCACCAACTTAGTTTTATTGGCCGCGTAATTCCTCTGCTGGACTGGTAGTGGCTTCTGTCGACGAAATACTTGCCCATACCTGCAGCCAAGGTAAGACAAGGTAAGGTAAACTTTATTAAAAAAAATCCGAAGAAAAATATTTTGCTGAAAGTGATGTAAATCTGTACAATTGTTCTGAAGGTAGATAGATGTTGTGGACAAATATAAATTATGAATTATGCAGATTCAAACTAAGATTATATATTCAAACTTTGCAATTTCATGTTAAATTTATAGATGTTACACAAAACTCTTGTTACGAATTCATGCTTTCATGCTTTGTTTACATTAAGCAAGGCGGAGCTCTCAGAGTGGTTAATAAATTTTAACTGGCTGCCCCTATGTTTCATATTACATGTAGGAATAAATATATGTCGTCTTAATGATAAATAATAATTATTGATTCAGATATTACACACTGCAAAACATTTAAAATTCACACCATAAAGTATCTTAGTGTGAATGTTACACCAAAATAATAATTTTTAGTTCACATTATCAATTAATCAAAATATACCTTGATATTCACAAAAGGAAAATTAAAATTTCACTATAGGTCAGAATTTACGTAAATTTTATTATTAAGATGCTACTTAAAGAGACTTTACTGTTGAGATCTGACCACAGGAATATCACTACTTACAGGAACGTTACTACTGAGCTTCGACTTACAGGAACTTTACCCGACTTACGGGTTCGGAAAGTCAGAGTCGAGTCTGTAGGTGAAGGTCCAGTTAAAGACGTTCTTATAGAACTCCAGATTCCCATAGAGGTACGAGGCGGATTCCATCATCCAGAACACATAACGAGTGTGTGGGGACCTGAACTCACAAACAGATTAACAATTAATTTATAGCCATCAGTAAGATTATTTTATGGAAGTGTCATGGATCTTCGACATTCGGAGAGGAAACACAAACGCAAAACAAATGTATTAAAAATGTGTTATTTACGATCGTGTGTGTGTGTGTGCGTATCTTTCATTATATTTCATTCGGTTATGATCCAATGATATATCTCACTGAGAAAAACACATCATATATGATAGTTGATAGGAAGGCTTGATAGCACCTATTACTACCTAGTGTTGGGCAGAGATCTGTCATTAGAACGGAAATGCCACATGAGGGCGTCAATTTCCTTGATGGGGAACCTGGACCGGTTGCTGGTGGTCATGCAGGTGTTGACACGACACCCGGCCCTCAGGAAGGGCTCCCGACCAAACCCAAACCCGTAGTGCATGCCGCTGTACGCCTGAAAATAAAGTCACACACAAAAATCAGGATTTGCCCACTACTGGAGTGTAGCAACACAATTAAATACTGAAGAATACTGACGTTTACCAAGCTTTCTGTAAACTGCGCTTCCCTCCTAATTCCGCCAATGAATGCAGACTCTGTGCTCTAAGGATCATCAAAACACCTCAGCTTGACAAATTCTCCTTATAAATTTGTCATCCTTCTCAGTGGTTAAGTGGCTAGTAATATTTCCACTGCATTATCGATATATGTATGATCTATGTGAGATATTGTTTAATTCCCATAAAACAGTCACCCATTTGACTGCCTTAGCAACAGTCAAATACTGTCTGTTATTAAAAGGGTGGATTCTAGTGTAGTTACAATCATTAGACTTGATTAATACACAAACTTGTAGGTCAGTTTTAGTTATTTCAGCCAGTACTTCGTATAACTTACGTCATTCCAGAAGAGAATCTTCTTCAGCGGAGGATTGTTGGGGTCAATATTGTCTTTATCTGCCGGAATCTCTCTGTACAAGTCAACTGGCCTTTTAGTGATTTTCAAGGATCTGTCATCAGCGTAGGACAAGTTAGAATCCCCAGGTAAGATGGGTGGAGGGACGGCTCTGAGTGACTTAGATACAACGCTCATCTTCACTGGAGAGTCAGCAACCTTTCTGTTTAATTATAAAACCAAATTTGATCTGTCGTTTTTGAGTTTATAAAAACAATATTAGATGTAATAAATTTAGGTTTTGACATCGAAGTGACTACTAGTTTATTACGCACTCCATATACATCCTGGAACCGTACCTCAAGAGCATTTGGATACACAATCGGCCTAGGAACTAGCCCCCCCCAAAAAAAAAGGTTACCAGTAATACAGCTGTATATTTATGTATTAATAATGACAGTAACAAAAGTTTGAGTAGATGAGAATAATAAACGTAACAGCATTAAATATATCATGTAGTGAGTCAACACTAAGACCCTCGTCTCAGAGATTTTTATCATGTATTCTGGCAAAATCTCACCAGATTTGAGCTCACTCTGGGATCACCGTGCTTGAAAGAGCAGATGGCATACATTTCATCCTAATTTATTAAATTCACAGTTGTTGGTCAAGCTGTCCCTCCTACAGGACTCGAGCACTGTTGTCATGTGGTTTACTTGCCTGCCAACCTTATTATAACAAGCGCAATTTAATTTAGCTTACCCAACTAAATATATTTCATATAAGTTTACAATAATTTCATAATAAACAAACACAATGAAACATATTTTTTTCAAAATTATTGCATACACAAATTTTCGCTTGCCTTATTCGGCAAGAAGAGCGTTGCTATATATATATATATATATATATATATATATATATATATATATATATATATATATATATATATATATATATATATATATATATATATATATATATATATATACGCAAGTGTAAGAGCACATAATCATGACAATAAGACAACGCCAGTGAACTACCAATAAGTACACTCACAGGAGTTTGAAGATGGTGTCAGCGAGGGTTACCCGGGTGCTCCTGCGGAAAGAAACAGTGGATGGCACGACCCAGGTTAGTCCACTGCTTGTGTACAGTATGTAGGTGCCCAGTGTCACGAAGCTGATCATCAACACTGACAGGAACAACCGCTGAAATGAACACAACAACATGTTGATGTATGGTGTTAGTATTACGAGACAGGAATATATGGGTTGTATACGAATGTTTTATATTTCTGACAAGTCTGTTTTGCAAACAAAACTATATCAAGATAATTCACACAGAGGCTCACTTCAAGATATTGTCTGAAGACAATATCTACATTACACGTTATCGATTTTATTACTCCACGTGTGTTAGTTTGTCATTATGCGGTGTTTGTTATACTGTTCCGTTTGTATGTTAGCTTGATGTTTACAGTGAAATAAGTATGATATCATATCTATGTTACCCAGTGTGAAGTGGAAAGCCTTGGTCAGATGACCACAAGCTCCAGCTCTTAGATCATCATATGACTAAGACCCGTGTCAGGAAACTTGTCCTGTTTCCTGACAAACCTTACCTAAACCTACCCAATGTGCATGTATTCTGGTGGGTATATCTCTCTTGATATATGTACACTGAGAGAAACAGTGCATGTACACTTGGGGATATATATCTTAGTTTATATACAGTTTACTTTATTCTCTATAGGTCTGTGTTTGGGACTGGGGGTGTACAGGTATCATACAGCCTTAATGACCCTCGTCCAGTCGACAGGATTTAAGTTTATGTAACCAACTATTCGTCAAATTTGTTTTGTGTAAAATCGTCTTAACTGATCTCTCAAATTGTCCCTTGCAACATTCTTTTTCCTCACATATTCTGATCCTTTACTATCCCTTCAAGATTCTCCTCTGATAATCCCGAACATTTTTATCCTACTCCTTCCTAAACTCCATGTTTCTGTCTTCCCTTCTTCCCTCAAACTTCATTTTCTCATCTCTCCAATAATTTACTTATTCTTGATGTTTAAACATTCAACACTTACAATCAAACATAACAGTATTGTGTACCTAGGAAAGCCAACGTATCAAGTTGGGGATAACTAACCTTGGTTTTGTTGCAGTCTCTTAGCATGACGAGGTGTTGGTGTTAGAAGCAGTATTGTTGTGGTCACCTCTACTTCGCCCCCGCACACACAACTCTGCTGCTGCCAGGTAAAAACATAACAAAGTACGCTAATACAATAGTGGAATTTACCAAGAGTATGTAAATAAAACACAGTATGCGAGTTGGTGGCATTTTTATTTATGATTTTATCAGTTCGTGAACTGATAATGTTCCCACTGAACAAAACGTTTATCATTAAAATTCCATAACCCGCTTAAATAACAGAGGTCACGGGAGTAGTCCCATTACCCATAAAAATATGGATCAACATCGCTGTAATCTTAACCGGCCGATACTAGGCAGGTATTACTCACCTATTCCCACATATAAGTAATACGAATAGGGGATGACCACACTAGGTCTACTAACCTATGCTAAGCAGGTCCTCGTCACACCTATTTTTTTTTTTTTGAGCTATCCAAGGTATTAACTGCGATGACCCAACATGGCAGGTTGTTCCACACAACCGGTGTTTTCCTTTATGATTTTTAAATATGATTTTATCAAACTTTAATCATATGTTTCTCTCTCGTGTGGAACTATCAAAATCTCCTTTAAACTCTAGATAAATTTACAATCTGCCCGACCATTTTTCCGTGGACAGTATGTACCAGGTTAATGGGTGTGATATATTGGAGTTTCCACAAAGAAAGCCTTACTGCGAGGAAGAGAGCTTAACAAAGCTCCTGGAGAGCGAAACGTTGTCGCAATAAAATGTCACATTAGTTTCATTTGTGCCCACTTCTTGCCTAACAGAAAGCCGTACTGTTTACTAGTCAAACCATACCCCGGCCGGGATTGAACCCGCGGTCAGAGAGTCTCAAAACTCCAGCCCGTCGCGTTAGCCACTAGACCAGCTAGCCACAATAAGATTCGTCCAACTAGGTATATTTCTACACCATAGGAAGGCTAGCACAGGCACTACTGTGACCACAAATGCAAGTTTTTACAGACGAATCTCCAGCTAGCGTGGCCGTGACGAACTCTAGCTCAAGTCCCCTCACTGCCGTCAACATGACTCACGAAATCGTCAAAGGTTGTCCCTCTCTAAGCGCTTCATTCACCTTTCAGTATTGTTTACCATATACTTACAATGACACGATGATCTTTAATTTTTAAAGTAGTGGAGTAGTAAGCCAGGGAAAGGCCTCTGTCAGATGACCAAAAGCTCCAGTGGCGACTCAACATAAAACTAATATCCTCCTGCCTGACGAACTTTAGCCTAGCCTAACCTACACCATCTTCCATTTGAAATAAAATCTTAAAAAAAATAGTATGAGGAGAAAGGCTTAGTTCTGCACACTCTTTTAAAACCCGGATTGATATGTCATCTAGCTCTGCTATATTCTTTTTATCAACATTTAGTAATAATTTCTTCACTACCTCTTTATTTACCTCAGTATCCCCAACTTAATGATATTTTTGGATTTGGAAAATTGCTGGATATCAAACATCTCTTCTAAATGCACTCGCAAACTTTCTGAATGCGATAAAATATTACAAGACAGAGATAAATTATGTCCAGAGAGAGAGAGAGAGCTATAATATTTATGGTATTGTATTCGGGTAAAAGAAGATATATGAAAGAATGGTTAATGGATAGTGTTGGAGATTTATGAAAAATAAAGAATTTGGAACCAGTATTGAGAACAGTCAGTCCAGGGACACGTTGGAGGTATATTGTTAACATGTTAGAAGTATATTTCTAACGTGTTAGAGATATATTTCTAACATGTTAGAGGTATATTTCTAACATGTTAGAGATATATTTCTATCATGTTAGAGGTATATTTTTAGCATGTTAGAGAAATATTTCTAACATGTTAGAGAAACATTTCTATCATGTTAGAGGTATATTTCTAACATGTTAGAGAAATGTTTCTATCATGGTAGAGGTATATTTCTAACATGTTAGAGAAATGTTTCTATCACGTTAGAGGTATATTTCTAACATGTTAGAGGTATATTTCTAACATGTTAGAGAAACATTTCTATCATGTTAGAGGTATATTTCTAACATGTTAGAGGTATATTTCTAACGTGTTAGAGGTATATTTCTAACGTGTTAGAGGTATATTTCTAACATGTTAGAGGTATATTTCTAACGTGTTAGAGGTATATTTCTAACATGTTAGAGAAATATTTCTATCATGTTAGAGGTATATTTCTAACATGTTAGAGGTATATTTCTAACATGTTAGAGGTATATTTCTAACATGTTGGAGATATATATCTAACATGTTAGAGGTATATTTCTAACATGTTGGAGATATATATCTAACATGTTAGAGGTATATTTCTAGCATGTTTGGGGTATATTTCTAACATGTCTGTACTGACTGGATAGTTTCATAAATATAACAGAATTCTCTGCAGATATGATATGTGTCCTGTAATATTTTATCTCGTTCAGTTTCACTAACTGTTGTGAATCACTCTAAATTCTTACAATCCAGCCGTTCCTGTTATTGTGCTGTTTCCTCACCTCTGTAATAATAATAATAATAATAATAATAATAATAATAATAATAATAATAATAATAATAATAATAATAATAATAATCTTTATTTCAACAACCACGTGATACAATTTATACAAATCTCGTTGAGATCAGTTACATGCATGCCATATAGAAAGCCCCGGTCAGATTAGTTTAATTTTGTCCCTAGGATGTGACCCACACTAGTCGACTAACACCCTGGTACCTATTTACTGCTAGGTGAACAGGGACAGCAGGTGTCTTAAGGACACACGCCCTCAATGTTTCCATCCATACTGGGGATCGAACCAAGGACCTCAATGTTTAAGACAAATGCGCTACTAACGGTGCTACGGGACAGCAGGTGTCTTAAGGACACACGCCCTCAATGTTTCCATCCATACTGGGGATCGAACCAAGGACCTCAATGTTTAAGACAAATGCGCTACTAACGGTGCTACGGGACACCAGTCAAGTCGAAGATAATCACTCTTTCATGTGATTTAAGATAGTTTACGTTAAACATTTCTTCCTTTACTGTGGTAAAGACCAAGTATTGAGGGTGTCACTTCTCTCACTTCACCTCACTTCACTTATATATTAATACATAAACAACCTGTCATTACCTCTAGGAACTGTGGAGTATTTATTGACAATTCCAGCCTCGTAGGCTGTCCAATTTATTTCTTTATAGTTGAAATCTCCCAAGACAGTAGCCTATTATCCTGATCACTTTTCATCAATAATTTTTTTGACAAGACGTTCAGTGATGCTGCACCTCAGATGACTCTCTAAACCCCAATATCTCCATCGTTAGTCCCAGTATTGTCGTAATTCGTCATTTATCTTAGTAAATTCTTCGCTATCTCATGTCTTATTAATTAAGTGGTTGCTTGAATGACCCAAGACGAGTCTCACATGTGTCGGATGACCCAAGACGAGTCTCACATGTGTCGGATGACCCAAGACGAGTCTCACATGTGTCGGATGACCCAAGACGAGTCTCACATGTGTCGGATGACCCAAGACGAGTCTCACATGTGTCGGATGACCCAAGACGAGTCTCACATGTGTCGGATGACCCAAGACGAGTCTCACATGTGTCGGATGACCCAAGACGAGTCTCACATGTGTCGGATGACCCAAGACGAGTCTCACATGTGTCGGATGACCCAAGACGAGTCTCACATGTGTCGGATGACCCAAGACGAGTTTCACATGTGTCGGATGACCCAAGACGAGTCTCACATGTGTCGGATGACCCAAGACGAGTCTCACATGTGTCGGATGACCCAAGACGAGTCTCACATGTGTCGGATGACCCAAGACTAGTCTCACATGTGTCGGATGACCCAAGACGAGTCTCACATGTGTCGGATGACCCAAGACGAGTCTCACATGTGTCGGATGACCCAAGACTAGTCTCACATGTGTCGGATGACCCAAAACGAGTCTCACATGTGTCGGATGACTCTAGACGAGTCTTGGGTCATCCCTGAAATGTTCTCATATTTTCGATTCCCTCTGCAAAATTTTTATATTATTTGTGCTTTGAATTTTCATTTCTGTGGTTTGTATTGTTTATTTTAGCGATATTGTCATTCCTCCTTCTTACACATCTAGTATCATCACACAGTGTGTATATGGCTATGTATTTTGTGCGTGCGTGTGCGTGTGTGCGTGCACTTGTGTATGTGTCTTGTGCGTGTGTAGAAGTGTGAAACATACACTGGCCACAATACATTGATCGCCTTGGTTAATGTCAGCTCGTCACTATGCGACTCACAAAACACTAAATCTTCACAATTTAATTCTGAAAATAAGTCATAACTACCAATACGCTTGTCAACGACCAAACTACATGCAATCCACAACAAAAACATATTTAGAATGTGTGTTTGTCCCCTCAAAAACAAGATATATATACATCAAGATGTGTATGCCTCTGCAAATATATATATATATATATATATATATATATTATATATATATATATATATATATATATATATATATATATATATTATATATATATATATATATATATATATATATATATATATATATATATATATATATATATTATATATATATATATATATATTTATAATACAATCGCAGATAGGTGACCTTAACAATGCGAGACAAACCACGAGGGATGAAAATCTCCAGGTCAAGTACTTTCACATGTCTCAGTGGGTCATCAGGAGCTGTGCAGTATTGCAAGAGTAGCAACAGAAGAAATAAGGAAAAAGTTTTCTCAAAGTTAGCGTGTTTTTTTTTTTTTTGTGAGAGAATCTAGCTGGTGTCCCCACGTAAACTTTGAGAAACCTTCCTCTCATTGCACCTGTTGCTACCCTTGCAACATTGCATAGCTCCTGATGATGCACTGAGACAGGTGAAAGTTCTTTCATAATGTTAAAATAGACAGTTTCAGATATTCATATTTCTCATTGTCTCTAATTATCTCCCTCATTATGTCTCTCGTTATCTTTTATTATTACTTTTCGTTATATCTCATTATAATTGATTATATCCCATTATCTTCATTATATCTCATTATCTTTTCATTACATCTCATTTTTATCTACATTATATCTCATTATTTTTTATTATATGTCATTATAAATTTTATCTCATTATCTTCTTTATACCTCATTATCTTCATTATATCTCTTTATCCTTTTCATTATATCTCTTTACCTTCATTAAATAGCATAATCTTTTTCATTATGCCTCATTATCTTTTTCAATATAACTCCCTATCTTTATTATATCTCATTATACTTTATAATTATCTTGTTAATTATATCTATCTTCCTTATATCTTATTATTCTTTTCATAGTGTATCTCTCTCTCTCTCTCTCTCTCTCTCTCTCTCTCTCTCTCTCTCTCTCTCTCTCTCTCTCTCTCTCTCTCTCTCTCTCATAAAGAGGCGAGTCCTGGACACAAGAATAATAATAATGGCTCGCAGACACAGGCTAAAACAAATGAACCTTGCATCACTATGGGGAGGACTTGTTCACGATGTGCAAGATACTCACAGCGCTCCACAAGAACAGTGACGCAACGGGAGGAGACACGGTTCAAGGTTTCCTGGGTAAGAAGTCTAGCAGAGCTATGCATTACCCTTTTGGGTTTAGGGCTAATTGATGATGATGATGATGATGATAGCAGCAGCTGGAAGTGAATGAGTTTGGCAAGTAGATTCCATACACAGTTTTAATACTAGGTACGATGAATCGAGCGTCGCTACCACATTTAGATGAGTACAACTAACCGAATACACACCTGTGTATGCAAGTGGGTAAGTACACAAATACATACGCACGCACACACACACACACACACACACACACACACACACACACACACACACATACACACACACACACACACATGTGCGTAGAACTAGATACGTACACATACGAGCATTTACCACCTCCCTCCCTTTCCCTTCCGTCACTCCGTAGGTGAGGGAAGGGGGTGAGGGGAGGGGGTGAGGGGAGGGGGTTTACGTTATCTCCCCCTAGATACAGGACCTGTTGCCTCTGTTCATCTAGCAATAAATTGGTACCTGGGTGTTAGTCCGACTGTTGTGGGTGGCATATTGTGGGAGGACCCCAGACGAAATAAGTCAGACTGCTTGGCTTTCCTGGGTTATCCTGGGGCTGTTTACCCTCCCAGGGTTAAGAGCCCAGGGAAAGGCTTTCTTCTAACACGGACTTGGTCTTCAAGACCTGGTCCGGGATCAGCTATAATCCTAACAAAGTCATGTTGAAGACCACGCTCATGGGACCAGCTACAGGCTTAATTAACCCAGACATGTTCAAGACCACATAGGTAAGACCAGCTATAGGTTGTATACAGACCTGCTCAAGACCACACTGGAAGGACCAACTATGGGCATGAAACAGACTTGGTCATCAAGACCACACTGGTGGGGCCAGTTGCAGCTACAACTTCCATAGAAATAGTGCATATACACCGAGAAGTGTATTCTGTCAGTGTATGTCCACCGGGAGAAGTATGTGTCTCAGTGCACATAGGTAGACCGAGAGGGGCACATCTCTCAGGTACGAAACAGCTGTGTATAAACACGTAATACAGAGCGAATCCACATTTCGGAGACGAGGTTTACAGCAGGACTGGTCTCAGCATTACCCGGTACACGAAGTGTGTGCCGATGTGCTGAGGCGAAGGTGCTGAGCTGAGAGGCAGAGTCACACATCAGCAGTGTCGTTCCGTCTCTATGAAGCAGCAGTGGGTGACTGAGTCCGTCTTCGTGACGCAGCGCTGCTTGACTGGAGTGGTAACTATATACACGACTCACAGCCGTCTTACCAACGCCTCAACTAGTTCTCAGCAGACATATAGTTCCCCAGCAGACAAATGATAGTCCTCAGCAGACAAATGATAGTCCCCCAGCAGACAAATGATAAGTCACCTCCCAGCACACAAATGACAGTTCCTTCCCAGCAGATACCCGATGGGGGTGATTCAGGAAGAGCATAAGGAGCACTGCAGCAGGCCAACTGGCCCATTCTAGGCAGCTCCAAGTCACACCCACTTAAGAAGGAAGGAGCACTGCTGGAGTCCTACTGGCCCAAGCTAAGCAAGTTCAGGAAAACACAAAACATCATTCAGAACACAGGGGAGGTAAAAAACTGGATTACGAAACAGTTCTGTAGTATAGAATCGCTAGAGCTAAAGGAACACTGGCCAGGGAACATCAGGAAGCTACGAGTAACACAGGTTCATTGTTAGCGGGAAAATCACAACAGATGTGATGAGATCGTTACTCAGAAAGTAACGCTGCATAACACTGTAACACTGAGTAACACTTTAATACCAGGTATCACCGTGTTACACCGTGTAACACCTCGTAACTTCGTGTAATGCTACGTAACATTGTGTAATACTAGGTAACATTGTGTAACACTGTGTAACACTAAGTAACTGTGTAACACTGTGTAATGCTGTGTAACACCTCGTAACTTCGTGTGACGCTACGTAACATTGTGTTACACTAGGTAACATTGTGTAACACTGTGTAACACTAAGTAACTGTGTAACACTGTGTAACACTAAGTAACAATGTAACACTGTGTAACGCTGTGTAACACCTCGTAACTTCGTGTGACGCTATGTAACATTGTGTTATACTAGGTAACATTGTGTAACACTGTGTAACACTAAGTAACTGTGTAACACTGTGTAACACTAAGTAACTGTGTAACACTGTGTAACACTAAGTAACTGTGTAACACTGTGTAACACTGTGTAACACCACGTAACTTCGTGTAACACTATTTAACACTGTGTAATACCGGGTAGTTTCGTGTAACACTATGTAACACTGAATAACACTGTGCAACACTATGTAACAAAATGTAACACAGAGAAAAAAAGAGAAAAATAACCGTGGGATGCACTGGGGAGGAAAAGAAAGATAACAGGAAACACTGGGGAGGATAAGAAAGATAACAGGAAACACTGGGGAGGAAAAAGATAACAGGAAACACTGGGGAGGATAAGAAAGATAACAGGAAACATTGGAGAGGATAAGAAAGATAACAGGAAAAACTGGGAAGGATAAGAAAGATAACAGGAAACACTGGGGAGGAAAAGAAAGATAACAGGAAACACTGGGGAGGATAAGAAAGACGACAGGAAACACTGGGGAGGATAAGAAAGATAACAGGAAACACTGGGGAGGAAAAGAAAGATAACAGGAAACACTGGGGAGGATAAGAAAGATAACAGGAAACACTGGGGAGGAAAAGAAAGATAACAGGAAACACTGGGGAGGAAAAGAAAGATAACAGGAAACACTGGGGAGGATAAGAAAGACGACAGGAAACACTGGGGAGGATAAGAAAGATAACAGGAAACACTGGGGAGGAAAAGAAAGATAACAGGAAACACTGGGGAGGATAAGAAAGATAACAGGAAACACTGGGGAGGAAAAGAAAGATAACAGGAAACACTGGGGAGGATAAGAAAGATAACAGGAAACACTGGGGAGGAAAAGAAAGATAACAGGAAACACTGGGGAGGATAAGAAAGATAACAGGAAACACTGGGAGGATAAGAAAGACGACAGGAAGCGCTGGGGTGGTTATTAAAAGATAACAGGAAACACTGGGGAGGAAAAGAAGATAACAGGAAACACAGGGGAGGATAAGAAAGATAACATGAAACACTGGGGAGGAAAAGAAAGATAACAGGAAAACACTGGGGAGGATAAGAAAGACGACAGGAAACACTGGGGAGGAAAAGAAAGATAACATGAAACACTGGGGAGGATAAGAAAGATAACAGGAAACACTGGGGAGGATAAGAAAGATAACAGGAAACACTGGGGAGGATAAGAAAGATAACAGGAAACACTGGGGAGGAAAAGAAAGATAGCAGGAAACACTGGGGAGGGTAAGAAAGATAACAGGAAACACTGGGGAGGAAAAGAAAGACTACAGGAAACACTGAGGAGGATAAGAAAGATAACAGGAAACACTGGGAGGATAAGAATGATTACTAACACTGGGGAGGATAAGAATGATTACTAACACTGGGGAGGATAAGAATGATTACTAACACTGGGGAGGATAAGAATCATTATTAACACTGGGGAGGATAAGAATGATTGCTAACACTGGGGAGGATAAGAATCATTACTAACACTGGGGAGGATAAGAAAGATTACTAACACTGGGGAGGATAAGAATCATTACTACCACTGGGGAGGATAAGAATGTTTACTAACACTGGGGAGGATAAGAATCATTACTAACACTGGGGAGGATAAGAATCATTACTAACACTGGGGAGGATAAGAATCACTAATAACACTGGGGAGGATAAGAATGATTACTAGCACTGGGGAGGATAAGAACGATTACTAGCACTGGGGAGGATAAGAATCATTACTAACACTGGGGAGGATAAGAATCATTATTAACACTGGGGAGGATAAGAATCGTTACTAACACTGGGGAGGATAAGAATCATTACTAACACTGGGGAGGATAAGAATCGTTACTAACACTGGGGAGGATAAGAATCATTACTAACACTGGTGAGGATAAGAATCACTATTAACACTGGGGAGGATAAGGATCATTACTAACACTGGGGAGGATAAGAATCATTACTAACACTGGGGAGGATAAGAATCACTACTAACACTGGGGAGGATAAGAATCATTACTAACACTGGGGAGGATAAGAATCATTACTAACACTGGGGAGGATAAGAATCATTACTAACACTGGGGAGGATAAGAATCATTACCAACACTGGGGAGGATAAGAACGATTACTACCACTGGGGAGGATAAGATTGATTACTAACACTGGGGAGGATAAGAATGATTACTACCACTGGGGGATAAGAATCACTACTGTCACTGGGGAGGATAAGAATCACTACTACCACTGGGGAGGATAAGAATGATTACTAACACTGGGGAGGATAAGAATCATTACTAACGCTGGGGAGGATAAGAATCACTACTACCACTGGGGAGGATAAGAATGATTACTAACACTGGGGAGGATAAGAATGATTACTAACACTGGGGAGGATAAGAAACATTACTAAAACTGGGGAGGATAAGAATCATTACTAACACTGGAGAGGATACGAATCACTACTGACACTGGGGAGGATAAGAATCATTACTAACACTGGGGAGGATAAGAATCATTACTAACACTGGGGAGGATAAGAATCACTACTGACACTGGGGAGGATAAGAATCATTACTAACACTGGGGAGGATAAGAATCACTAATAACACTGGGGAGGATAAGAATGATTACTAGCCCTGGGGAAGATAAGAATGATTACTAGCACTGGGGAGGATAAGAATCATTACTAACACTGGGGAGGATAAGAATCATTATTAACACTGGGGAGGATAAGAATCGTTACTAACACTGGGGAGGATAAGAATCATTACTAACACTGTGGAGGATAAGAGTCATTACTAACACTGGGGAGGATAAGAATCATTACTAACACTGGGGAGGATAAGAATCATTACTAACACTGGGGATAATAAGAATCATTACCAACACTGGGGAGGATAAGAACGATTACTACCACTGGGGAGGATAAGAATGATTACTAACACTGGGGAGGATAAGAATGATTACTACCACTGGGGGGATAAGAATTACTACTGACACTGGGGAGGATAAGAATCACTACTACCACTGGGGAGGATAAGAATGATTACTAACACTGGGGAGGATAAGAATCATTACTAAAACTGGGGAGGATAAGAATCATTACTAACACTGGGGAGGATACGAATCATTACTGACACTGGGGAGGATAAGAATCATTACTAACACTGGGGAGGATAAGAATCATTACTAACACTGGGGAGGATAAGAATCACTACTGACACTGGGGAGGATAAGAATCATTACTAACACTGGGGAGGATAAGAATCACTACTACCACTGGGGAGGATAAGAATCACTTCTACCACTGGGGCGGATAAGAATCACTACTGACACTGGGGAGGATAAGAACCACTACTACCACTGGGGAGGATAAGAATCACTACTGACACTGGGGAGGATAAGAATCACTACTAACACTGGGAAGAATAAGAATGATTACTAATACTGGGAATTACAAGAATCATTACTAACACTGGGGCTAAAAATAATCACTACTACCACTGGGGAGGATAAGAATCACTACTATCACTGGGGAGGATAAGAATCTTTACTAACACTGGGGAGGATAAGAATCATTACTAACACTGGTGAGGATAAGAATCATTACTAACACTGGGGAGGATAAGAATCACTACTGACACTGGGGAGGATAAGAATGATTACTAATACTGGGGAGGAGATAAGTATCACTACTACCACTGGGGAGGATAAGAATCACTGCTAACACTGGGGAGAATAAGAACCACTACTACCACTGGTGAGGATAAGAATCACTACTGACACTGGGGAGGATAAGAATCAATAGTAACACTGGGGAGGATAAAAATCACTACTGACACTGCGGACTGAAAAACTTGAAGTGTAGTAGTCAGGAGCACTGATCTGTCCCTGTTAGAGAGCAGACTGAGTCTAACATCTGTGACTCAGGTGTGTGTGTGTGTGTGTGTGGCATTTATCCACGTGTGTGTGTGTGTGTGTGTGTATGTGTGCGTGTGTGTGTGTGTATGTGTGTGTGTGTGTATGTGTGCGTGTGTGAGGACAGTTGTTTGTTGTCAACGTCAGTGTTCATGTACTAGAATATGTTTCCTGCTGTACATATTTACTTCATTGTAACACACACACACACACACACACAGGCATGTCTTACGAGGAGAGGTTAAGGGTAATCGACCTGACGCCACTGGAGGACAGGAGAGAGACGGGGGACGACATGATAACGACGTATAAAATACTGAGAAGAATTGATAAATTGGTTAGAGACAGGATGTTCCAGGGATGAAACACAGCAACAAGGGGTAACAACTGGAAGCTGTAGATTCAGATGAGTCACAGGGAT